CATCGTCATTGGCTTTCTTAGAGAGAAAGGGTGATGGGGTAAAATGATCCCAATTCTGTCATATTTCATGAAACATTAATATAAGAGCTACATAATTAATTTAGATAGATTTAAGAAATTAAATAAATTAACATATGTGACATCATTTCTCTAAAATATCTATGCATAACATTATATTGTATATTAGTTTATAAATAAGTTAAATTAGATTGGGAAAAATTAACAATATAAGAGATAAAATGACTTAAAATTTTATAATAATGACCAGAGTTAGTAATTAATAAATTCAGTAACATTTTTTATCATCAAGTCAACCATAATACCAATGGAGACATAACTAAATGGATTAGTGCATTGCTCTTAAATTTGCTCTACTTAACTGTGATAAATTTTTCTGGTTATAATATTAGTATTGAAATGGATTGTGAAGAACTATTAAGAACAATTCATAGCAAATCATTAGATAAAGTGGCATGGCAAAGTTTTTCAATTATTTCGAGATCTTTCAATTGATTGAACTAAAATCAAGGAAATTGTTCAGGAATTGGATAATATGGCTGTTTTGCTTAGTCTCGTTTTGTTGCTGTTTTATTGTAGCTGTTTTTCTTCGGTTGTTCTGCTTTATGTATTAAATATAGGATAATGATAACTAAAACTCATCATCTATATTCATTTTATGGTATAAAATATGGCCTTATATGTTTATTTTTGGAAGATTTATGAGGGGTTAAAATAAAACGTGGATTATTTCTAGAGAAATAGGGAATGAAAGAGCTATTTCTATTCCATATACATAAAATTAATTAGTTAGTTATCTCAACCATGATTACTTGATCATATATTTCTATATTATCATGAGAGGGGGAATGCATCTTTCTTTCACATATAGAAGAATATTATAGGAGCATTTCGTTACTCACAAAAGTATTTTTTAAAAATATTTTTACGTAGACTGAAATAAAACTTTTCTCACATGTTTATTTTTTATACCATAAAATTATTTTTAAAATATGGTTTGGTTTCTATTCAAACACATCCTATATCATATTAATGTACATGCTTTAATATGATTCATTTAATCATAGAAAGAAACAAGAAATTCGTACTTTTGTCAATTTATTTCAAATTTAATAATGATTGAGATTATTTAATTGGGCCAGTAATAGGTATAATCATTTGAAAAAGTATAAAAGTTAATTGATATTACCAATTGCGGGGAAAATACAACAAGGTGTCGTGGTGTAGTTGGTTATCACGTCAGTCTAACACACTGAAGGTCTCCGGTTCGAGTCCGGGCGACGCCATTTGTGTTTGCAATTTTTTAATGATCATTTTAGTTTTCCCGACGCAATCAAAACGTTGTCGTGTTGATGTGGAGCAACTTTTCCCTTTACGCGCCGACGCGCCGTGTTCAAAGCCGCGTAATTCTCACGTTACCGGGCCCCACATAAGGGACCCGAAGAAATTGGCCGTTCGTTCCTTCGTGCTTCCAACGAATCCCACCCAATCACATTCGTTTCCATACAACTTCCTCGATTCTCATTGGCTTGTTGACTCCACGTCATCACTCCTCGAATCTCTACCACACGCCCTGCAATTACCAGGGAGATTCCTCCTTGATCCCAACTCAAATCTTGATTTCCCACAATGGTTAACGAGTAATAATTCTATCTTCTAATATCCCAAAAAAAAAAAAAAAAAAGATATCCAGTTTTATATTATCTGTTAAAAAGGACTGTTTTACGCCAATTAACGAAATGCAGGTGATTCAGTGATTGACTCTATTATTATTTAATTTAAATTTAAAGTTGATTAATTTATCTTTTTTATCTTAATTAATTAAAATTAAAAATTATTCAAAATATAGCTTGGGCTATAAATGGACCACCCCGCAATATCATGTTGGAGGGTTCGAGGGGCTTCTTTGTGGGATTTCGGGTGTCTTCTTCTTGTTTCAATCTTCTTCCCATTCTGTGTCAATTCTTCTGTGTTTTTGCCACGAGATGGGATTGCTTCGCTTTCGGATCAGTGCATTCGCTTTGCTTTTCTTTTCTTCCTTCTCCTCGGCTTTGCCTTCCACCTCCGATGTCGTCAACCCGCCCTACCCCAAGGCGATTGCTGTATGTCGGCTTTGTTTTGGATTTTCTTCTTCTGCTTATTCTTCTTTTTTCCTCCTTGTGCTTTGTTTCCCGCAATGTCATGGAGAATTATGAAAGAAAAATTCTTCGTTTATGATCTTTTAAGTTTTCGACCGTTGGAGCTTTGGATTTTTTTTTTTTTGGGTTAATCTGGTTTTTCTCTTGAACGGTGCTTTGCAACTGGGGAGAATTATGAAAAGTAACTTTGTTCTTGCGATTTCTTTTTTCTGGGTGTTTTAACTGATTTCTGTAAATCAGCTTATTTGTCGATACGGTTCTGATGATGGAATACGCGGTATTTACAGGATTTAAAAGAGGCGATTGTGAACGGATTGGGGTTTCCGTCGGAGGATTTCAAGATAAGTGGGTTTGATCCGAGGGATGCCCAAGTGGGGCATTCTGTGGCCTATGAATTCGACCTGGAGATTGATCAGAAGGTTATTCCGTTCAAGTTCTTAGAGGACGTGAACCGGTGGGATTACGTTGATCTTCCGATTTTCCGGATTGAGGAACCGGCAAAACCCGGCGAAGAAAAGGCTCTGGTTGAGAAGAGGAGATCGGATAATGAGTTACCAGTTTTGGCTCCGTTCCAATTGGCGGGACCCATGGAACTCTGGCTTCAGGACGCCAAGGATATGAGGATTTCTCTCCCTGTAAGTTTTTTTATTCCATTCTTATAATATTATTCGTCCTACATATGACAGTTGCCATTTTTGGATTAGACACACAGTGTAGCACAACTTGCATGAAATCTGGTGAATTGATATAAAATTTAAGAGATGTTGTAATATCGGTATTGATATATTGATGTATTGATTGATGAGTCCTTTCATGTGAGACCGGATGTAATTTGCATAATAATATACGACTGGAAAGGAATTATAGTCTGTGAACGAATTCGTTCTTGCCAGATGCATTGCAACAGACCACATTGCATTTAGGAGTTATGTGTGATCATGTTTCTGTATTTTTGTGCCAGCGTCTTGTGTCTTGTATCCATGTTAGAATCTGTACTTTTCATCTCAAATGTAATTAAATTAGTGGATTTGTACAAGAATTGAGATGACATAGTGGATAACGGCGATAATTTAAACTTTAGTGCTATTTACGTTTGTTATTGATCTTATCTGTCTCACTCAAATATTAAGGATTTAATTTGTTCCCAAACCTGTTGGATTTTTTATACAAGTATATTGGTGTGTTAATACTTAGTGACTCTGTTTTAGGTTGGTACCTTTAAAGCACCAACACTTAAGAACGAAATCAGGTCATGTCAGGATGTGCCATATTTCAAATTCAACTTTAATATTTCAGTTTTTGGTTGTGTTGCAATTTGTGTTGCGGTCTAGTATCCATGCCAGTAGTGGCTATGATGGCAAAAAAATGATGTATTGTGATGGAACGAAGAGTAATGAAATCTTCGGTCAATCTGCAAAATTAGTAGGACATCCCTGTCAATGTGTATGGAATGAGATGGTTACTTCCTCCCTTTTAACTAGAACTCGTATGGTTTTGCAGCATGATGTTGATGCTGGCGTGCTCAAGAAAGTCATACTAGCAGATGGTGCCGTTGTCACTGTCAAAGGCGCAAGATCAGTTAGCCTTCGTAAACCACTTGATCTCCCCCTCCCCTTAAACAAATCACAGAGTGGATTTGCCGTTGGTCTTATGGCCTTGGCAGAGCAGCTCCGCCACACATCTCGCTCCCGCACGCAGGATGACCCTCTTCTCTCACTCCGCATTGTTGGTGCAACATCACTTTCATCCCCTTCCTCATCGACAACCTCTTCACATAACCGGCTCAAGCTCAAGCGCCTCGCGCCAGGTCTGGTGGAACTGTCTTCCCCGTTAAACACTAAGGCCATTGAAGCACTATCCCCAATTGATATCCAAAATGATGCTCCAACTCTGTTGACGCCAACTCAGTTTGCCACAATGTGGCCTATTGCTTCCATCAATGGATCAAACGCTAACTTGTTGGGTTTTGAGGCTCTCTTATCTTCTGTGTTGGGTCCTAAGGCAAACAAGAAAGGCTCCTTCAAGTTGTTGAAGGCAGATGTTTCTGCTCAGACATTCGTGAAGATAGGGTTTCAGGCAGAGAAGAAGCTGAAGGAAGGAGATGGCGATTTGTTTAAGGATTTCCCGGAATGGAGGACTAAGCCAGAGACTGTGAAGATGCATTTTGAGGTGCTAGCAAAGGTTGATGGTGATAAAGTGATACCGGAGAGAGTGATGCCTGTAAACCCCGTGATTATTGAAGACACTGTGGCCCCAGATTTACTGACTGGAAACGTGAGCATGTCTAAGGTACCAATAATCTACACTCCTTCCAACCCCTTCACCTTGTAAGATGATGAAGGAGTTTGATTTTGTTGGAGTCAACGAACGGAATTGTAAAATATAGGATGTTTTTAATTTTTAACTTGATTATATTCTTTTTCTTTCTTTTGAAAGAACTTGATTATATACGTAAGCATCACGAAACCTGTAAATATGTATTTTGATGAGATGCGATGTTCCAATATACCATCATAAAGAATTAGAATACGCGCAAGAGCTGCACTTCGTTTGACTTGTGACTCTGAGGGTGCGTGGGATTTTTCCTTCATGTGGTGTATGTTGGCACAAAAGCAAAATAGCTCACAGGGTCCCAGAAAATCTGTGAAGTTCCCCCATTGAAAACGAAATTGGATCTTTTGGAATAACGAAGTGACACACATGGAAGTGAGCATATGATCTAATATTTTTCCTTTACAAATGACAGATTGTCTTAAAGAGGATTCACTCAACAGACTCTTGTAGATGAGAAGTAATACCAGTTTCAATTTATTATATAAATAAATAACTATTCATGAACTTTTAAGACCTTACATCTACAGTTGTGCACTTTATTTCGGATGTAAATTGTACGAAATTAATATAGATAGTTCATTGTGTTGAATCCGAAGTTCAGATCGCCTGCTGAACTTACAATATGGTTTTCCAGTATGCTCAAATTTCATACGATTGGTAAAACCGAAAATACACGAGGAGGATCGAGAAAAATCTAATATGAACAGGGGGATTATTATTATTTCACAAGGTCGTTGTCGTTGATACGAAAACCAGCCAACTCCTGACCTCTCATTTAACCTCTGATGAAGTCAATCCCTTTCTGGATGCTTCCTGCCAACTCTTTCTTTGCTTTCTCTAAGCCCATCCTATGAAAGCAATCAAACAAAAGTCAGCCTTCTGCGTTGCTTGGTGGTTCCAACAGAGAAATTAGCAGAAAACTGGATGCTCGAAAGTCATACCTTTCGTACTCATTCAGGGGACCAAGTTGATAAACTTCCTCTGCTCCGGCACGGCCAATACGTACCTTGGTTGCGAAAAAGGGGAGTTCCGTAACCTATTAAAGAGATCATCCATTATTATCAAAACAAGTCCAAAAGCAACGTAGGAAGTGTCCAAGGCAAAGGACTGGAATGTCAGACCTGAGAAGCAACAAAAGCACACTCTACCACTCCGGCTTCTCCTTTCAAGCCTCGAAGACATGCGCCAGCAAACTTGGCAGCGGCATATGCCTGCATGATCAAAAGTGAACTTTCTAGTTCGTTAGTTTGTCCAATAGGAGTAGGTAGGATTCACTGGTGCTAGTTAATAATAGTTTCTGAAATTGCAAATATTTTAAGGAAAGCTGCTGACCATTGATAGAGTAGCAGAACCAGCCCCAGCCTTTGCCTGTAACATGAATGGTTGCCATTAGATTATGAGTTCATGATGAGCAGATCACAACCACAACTTTGTTTTTTTTTTTTTGGGGGGGGGGGGGGGTTGGTGTTTATAATAGTGAGACTGAACCATTGTGAATATCCTTAAGAATAACCTAGGTTGTAGCTAAGAGCATATAGTCAAATCAAGAACAAGCTTGAATTATTAATATCTTAGTCAGTCAGAACGTTCACTTGAGCAAGGATTTTATTTTATCGTCGTCAAGCATCCATTGAGAAGGGTATAACTGGTGCAATTGGGCTCTTACTTGATCTCATCATAGAAGCACTAATACCTGCCAGTAATGCTATCAATTGTTTTTTAATTTAAATATTTGATTGAAATTTCACAACAGCAATATGGCATCAATCAGGTGTCAGAACCTTCTAAAGGGAAGGTATAGGAGCTCAGATGATCATCTTGATGAATCCTTTCGAGGGGTATGGGAGAAGTATATTAGAAGGAAAGAGAGAATAGGACTGGAGATTATCAATATAGCCAGCAAAGCCACAAATTAAGATTAATTAATCAAATTTCAGTCTACTTAAATCAAAACTCTAGATAATCGAACCCTATAACATCACCTCAACAACTTCTGTTCCACCATTTTGGATGCGGTTGGTAAGGTAATCAACTTCCTCAGGACTGAAGCTACTAGGAGGCTTAACCTACAAAAAAACCAAGTTAAGAGGATCAATTGCCCAGTTGTATCATCCAATATCTGCATCAGAGGGACTTTCAAAGGAAAAACCTGTGACAACAGAGGCAATATTGTGACTCCTGCATGACCTCCCACAACAGGAACATCAACCTCTCGAGGATCAAGACCCAGTACCTCTGCCTGCAAGAAAAACGAGAAAGTTTTTACATCAAGAAAAAACGAATGATGAATTAAAGGCTTTTTCCTTTGACGGTCCTAACTTTTGCTTACCACAAAAGTGTTTGCCCTCACAACATCAAGAGTTGTAACACCGAGTAGCCGCTTTGGATCATATGTGCCAGCTTTCTTAAAAACTTCTGCAGCAATCGCGACAGTGGAGTTCACTGGATTGCTAATCAAGTTGACAATAGCATTGGGACAGCACTTGGCAATTCCTTCACAAAGAGTCCTCACAATTCCAGCATTTATTTTAAACAAATCATCCCTTGTCATTCCGGGTTTCCTAGGAACACCAGCTGGTATAATCACCAAATCCATGCCAGTGAGCGCACTCTCAAGCTGTGGTTGGCCCAAGAAGCCACGCACCTAGAAAACTCAAAATGAGTTGCAAATAACTACCCTTAGCTCCTTAAAACAAAGAACAAGTTACAAATACAGACTTTTAAACATGCCCTACCAAGCATTCACTAAAAACATAATAAATAAACATTTTCCCCCGTGCATCAGTAAATTACTAACTTCTTCAAAAGAAATCTCACGTCATAATTTGACTGAAAAATGTGATAGCAAATACACAAGAATTTTGGCCGAGGTTTTCTTGCAAGAATAATCCCGATACATACCCAAAAAAAGAAGAACGACAATGCAAAAAAAGGTTATTTAATTTTAAGATTCAAAATCAATTATTAATCAACAACGAAATACACCGAAAATAGGACACAACACAAAAAAATATGCATTGTGTAAGTGCAATTTGGGATCCAAAGCTATCTCAATTTGGTCAAAGTATACGTGCTTCATAGATCAACTTAATTTGGCCCAAGTATACGCGCTTCATAGATCAACAATTCAGTAATAAGATTGCAAGTAGCAGCCATGTAAGAAATTTACCACAGCTCCAGTGTCCATGTGACTAACATCAGCCGTGACACCAGGGGCGTTTACAACATCGTAAAGATGAAGAACTGAAACTAGTGGGTTCATCTTCATCAGCAAAGCAAGGGGTTGGCCAATTCCCCCAGCAGCACCTAAGATAGCAACTCTGAATCCAGGGGACCCACCTTTCGCTCTGCAATCAACTCTCTTCAGATGAACATCACCTCCTTCCTATCAAATTCAATATGCAAATAGCATATCAAATTCACATGATAACGCAACAATTTTTGACAACTATGTTATAACGAACCATTACGATAGATTTAGATTTAGTTCTAGGCGTTGCTAGATTGAGAATTAAAGCTTCAAATTTTGTCATTTGGTTGTGTGAATTGTCCGAGTTTGAATTTCTTACCAAAATCGAAAATCAATACGAGCTTTGAAGAATAAATACCAGAAGAGGAGACAAGAATTGAAGCGAAAAAAAGGGAAGAAACCTGGAAACTAGGAGGCAGAAGCTGATTCGTGATTGTTGCAATGCGGCGATTGGCCTGTGCATGAGCTTCCATTTCTCTGTTCTTCCAGCGAAAATACAGACAGGGATGGGGAGTTCCGGTGTAGAAGAGTTATATATGAATTGGGCTAAATAATAATATCATGAAACAAAACAAGAATAATCATGTTCGTTTCTTTTCTGTCGATAATCTCGTCTATGACCATGCATGAATTTTTTGTGGAATGGGATTTTCTGATCCATTATCCTATCTATCTCATGCCTCAAATGTAAGGCTCTCAGAATTTTATTAGACAACTTCACAAAACCTATTTTGTTTTACTGATCAAGGCCGCCATGTCTGGTAGTGTCTTGGTCTTTTTTTTTAGGAAAAAAATTAATAAACTCATAAATCATGATAACCTTTTTCCGGATGCATCCCTCCTGTTGTTTTTTTTTTGGGCGGGAGATCTATCTCTCCTGTTTATAACGTGATTAAAATAACCGTTTAATTTAATTTTAAACAAATTGATGATTAGATATAATAATTTAAATCTACATTTACAAATATAAAAATTTAACAAGTCAAACTGTTCCTGAGGTATAAAAAATATAGTTTTTTTTTTCATTAGAACCCTTCAAAAAATTCACACTAATTTTTTAATAATCCCATTATCCTGATGCCTTGTTTCAAAGATTAAGTCATACATATATATGAGATAAAATTATTAATAATATAACTTGCTTAAAAGTTTAAATTCCATGCAAGTCTGAGGTTTTATATATAATCTAACTGATACCAAGCATTTCTTTTAAATTTTTTTTATTTTTTAAAAGCATGCCATCGCGAGTTCAAAATTTTGGTAGGGGATTTAATGAGTGCGTGAATTATGATAAAAACAAATCCATACAAAGGAAGGAAAAAAGAGTTCAGATTAATAATAATTACGTAGTTATTACCATGAAAAAATATTATCAATAGCCATGAGTGGGTGATGAATAGAGGGAAAATTACCATAAGATCCAATAAAAAAAATTTAATTACTAAAAAGTCATAATAACAAACAAATAACATAAATCAATTGTTATATTTTATACTTGAACTTGTTATTATATTCTTTTTAGTTGTCAATAGACGTTATGATAATGGACCTGTTTGAAACTGTTTATAAATAGCTTATAAGCAGCTTTTTAATAGTGATTTATTAAATATGAGACAAATATGTGAGAAAAGTTTTATCTCGACTTACGTAAAATATGTTTATAAAATAATTTTCTCTACCATGACTAAATGTCTTTTTTGGAGCTGATTGCAATTCCCCGTGAGCATATGGGATCATATATTGGGTTTGTTTGGGTCAGCGGTTTAAAATAAGCTTAAATTTAAAAATAAGCTGGGGTGCAAATCGGACTTGTTTGGCAAAGCTTAAAACTAATTGGCTTATGTTAAAAAAGCCTATCTAAACACCCAATTGCCATAAACTGCAAGAAGGAGCTTATGACTTAAATCAGAAGAGCTTTTGGCGGGAAAAAAAATTCAAAAGAGCCGTTCTGTAATGTCAGATCCTTTTTTTCCTCCTCCCATTTGCCTTTTCCTCTCACAAGCATCACTTTCGTTTCTTTTTCACTTTATATACCTGAGAAAAAAATTTAATTCGCTTAGTCAATTTCATTTATTCATATTAAATTAATTTAAATTTATTGTCTTATATCAATTCATTTTTTATTATGTTTCACTTTATATTTAAAATATTTTTTATGATTTCTCTAAAGTTTTCAATTTTAATTCACTCATTAAATTTCACTTCTTCATTATATTATCTCAATTCTTTTTTTTTTCATGTTTCACTTTATATTTCAAATATTTTTTTTGATTTTTTAAAAATTTTAAAATTTAATCGACTCATTAAATTTTATTTCTTCATATTAATTTATTTTAATTTTATTGTATTGTTTGAAATCAATTTTTTATCATGTTTCATTATTTATTAAAACTCATACTCATTTTGATAATTTTTCAGCCAAACTTACTTTTACTCAACTATAATCCAAACAAGCTTTTACCAATCTCACTTTTGTAAACTAACTTTTCTGAACTCCAATCCAAACATAATTCAACTTATCCAATTTAACTTTTACTAACTTCACTTTTTCATAAACTATTTTTTTTATAAGATACTTTTCCAATTACTGATTCAAACGGGCATATTATCAATATGTGTGCCCGCGAAATCACTAGCATCAACAAAGCTACATATCTCCTTCATTCAAAAAAGGCTACCAACCTTCTTTGGGCCAGAAGTCCAAATGAAGAGGAGGGCCCATATCTCCTTTTGATGGTTGATGTCGTCTTTTTTTTTTCCCCGGAGAGTGGTTGATGTCTTCATATTCACAAATCACAGAAGCGTGACATAGGTTGATTCTTAGGTTTTGGGCCCAACGGACTTCGTTATTATTCCTCCGATTATAAGCAGAAGGTGCTAGTTCTTGTAGCGAATAAATATTTGAATTTTTATTAAAAGAAGTATCCATACTTAGTATTTGAAAATTCTTTTGAAAAGAAGTGTGATTTTGTAGGAGCAAGAACCAATGAACATAATTTTGTAAGTTGAAAATGCAAAAACATGGATCTAACTCATATGTTTGACAATAATATATAAGACTCCTTTTAAGTATGTTATTGTCATCGATGGCCCAAAAAAAAGCATTTTATTGTAATGTTTTGTTTTTGTACAAGAACCCGTGTATTTTGTTTACTGTAATAAATACTTTTACCATAATAGCCTTAATTAATGCTTAATTAATGATCCAAAGTTAAATTTGCCGAAAAGTCATTAGTTAAGAACTTAAGATACTCTAACTCATTAAATACTTATCTGATTCTATTTGTAAGACACTTTCAATATATTTCACACAGACTGAAAAAAAATTTAAACTATGTTAACTCTTCATTAAAATATAATAACTTTTTAACTTTACCCCTATTGAATATATATATTTTTTAAAAAAACTATTTACACTATAATAAATAAAGAATAAAATAGTATATTCAGAATAAAACTTTAATTAAGTGACTTATAAATAAGAGTAAGAAAAAACTTCTATCTCTATTTTATTAATAAGACCAGAGAAGTATATACTAAGGATATTTATTGAAGAATAAGGCAAATAATTGACAAGATTATTAATTGCCCATAACTAATTTTCTTAATTCTTGTAAATTAGTTAAGAAAAAAAGGATTTTTACATACATACAATAGGAGAAAATGCTTGAATTCTAACATGAAAAGGCTAAAATATCCCTGGAATTAGTTTTGGAAATTGCTTCTTCTACCTTCCAGTTCCGTTGTCTGTAATTCAAATGGAGCAGTAATTAATACTACCTCTAATATTTAATATAAGACCTTGTTTGACTTTTATTTTGGTCCTAAATATAAGACCCCAATCCACTTTGTCTCTCATATTTACTCAATTTTTTTCAAGATAAGCCTTCTAACAATTATAGTTCTAGTTAATACACTTGATTAGCAGGGATATTTTAGGAAAGACAACACCTATTTAAGACAAATAACTAACTCAACTTACTTCCTTAATCTCTTCAAATTAGTCAACTGGCTCTTATAATTAGGACCGGAGGTGGTATTAATTTTTTGAGAGGACCCTTGCTTGTCGGCGCAGAACCTCTCTATTGCAAATCCTATCCATTTAACCTCCATTTATATAAAACTCAGCGTTTTATAATTTAAATAGTATTGCAATCATGCCATGAACAAAAAAAGTAAAAAAAATCAATCAACCATTTAAAAAAAAAGGGTCTTCTTCCTCTTCGGATGAAAAACTTCCAAAGACTCACCCCCTTCAAATTCTTTTCCTGAGGTTCAAACTGAAAGTCCACTAGCTTCTGCAACATCCAGTTTCCAAAACAATGCTGGTCAATCTCCGAAGAAGCTTGTGTTTGTGTAATGAAAGAAATGACGTCACTGCAATGAGAAGCCTCTTCCTTCTTTTTTTTTTTTTTTTTTTCCAAATGGTTGATTGTGTTTTTTTTTTTTGCCTTTATTTAAGATAAAATCAGAACTCCAAAAAACACAGTCACTAGTCACTGTAATAGGTGGGGGTGAATACAAGAAGCTGATTGGTAGAAAGAAAGAAACGACCTTGTTTTGGGTTAGTGGAGAGAATTGCTTAATGTAGAGGTTCGACACTACTTGTTAGAAGGGTTATTTAATTTGTTAACTGCTACTGGCGGAAAAGAATTAGTCTCAAGTCTAATAATAGTAATTTTTTGAAATTTATGTAGTAGTTAATTAGTATCTTAATTAGTTAAATGAGTATGATTCAATAGTCAACATTGGCAGCTGCTTTCTAAACGTGATGACCCATTGGTTATAAAATTTTATATTTTGTTTGTCTCTACCTGTGACAGTCTTCATCTTAATTAATTTTATATATGAGTGACATAAGTTTGAATATATATATATATATATATATATATCGTGATTTATAACCCCTGCTCTTTGCAATGTGGCTAATGTATGCCGCTGGCATGAACTACAATAATACTTTATGTTAATTCTTCTTTTTGTTGCTTTGATGGGATATGTTTATTAATATTGTACATGATGCAATCTTTCTTACTAACCCATTAGCAAATTTAAATTTTCTTTATTTTGGACTCCAACATCTTGTAATCAAACCATGATTTGGATTGTTCATCATCTTTTGATAATATTCCTCCGGTCCTAAATATAAAAATAATTTTTGTAGTATAATTTACACTATAAAAATGGATTTATTTTGGCAAAATTATATTACCAAAAATTTTCCTTAAAGCTTTTCTGAACGTAAGTTTGCGAGTCGATTTCTCTGTATAGCGTATGATGAGTGTGATCTATTATATCAATTACAATTATTATTATGTTTCATCTGTTTTTTATCATTATTTTTTTCTATATTTGTTTAGTTAACAAACAAGATATTTGATGTACATATGATTAGCTACATCTTTTTGTTCTTTTTTAACATTAATGCGGGTCTATACAATTCTTTTGGGTCTTGAGGAGTTTAAAAATGAATTACATTACTATTCGTAGCTTGTATATAATATAATGTATTAAAGTTTTTATATTATATACAGATTTGTAGAATATAATATAGTATTGTTGTTGTGGTTTAATTTTTTTTTTTAATTGTAAAATGCAACGTTAGTTGGCCGGAAAAAAATTGGAATCGAACTCGTAATTACAGC